GCCCTCTGACCACCCCTCTGACCACCCCTCTGCACCGTGGCTCTCTGCACCTCAGGCAGCCAGAGCGAGCAGGCTCCAGCCCGCTACTGTCTCTCCCGCTGGGGTTCTAGAGCTGCAGGTCCCAGCCCCTGACCCACTCCTGCACAACCACAACTGGATTTCTGCTTAACGAGCTTTGGCCCGTCAGCTGCACCCCAGCCCCACTCACAGACCAGCGGGCACGTGGCCTCCCCTGAAGACTGAGTCACCAACAGAGCCACCGGCGCCGCCTCCCAGGGCCGGGTCTGAACTGCCTCCCCGCCTGCCCCACCTTCTTCCGCCTCTGGGTGGCTGCTTCCCCTTCAGGGGTCCCAGTTACCAGGTGAGTTCGAGCCACAGGGGCAGTCAGAGTCACTGTCGATGTCTGTTAGGTCACCTCAACCTGGACAGCTCGGGGGTTCTCGGCACTCACCCCGGCAGTTCCCCAGAGGCCCCCCGAACCTCCCTGGACACGGCTTCCCGGCGACGACGGGGTCAGAGGCCTGGGAGCAGCTGCCCACGGGAGACCCCGGGCCCTGCGGAGCCGCCCGCTGCCGCCCGGGGTGGGACGCGGCCGACGCGCCGACTCACATGGTGAAGTTGTCGTCCAGGAAGCAGCGGTTACGCAGCAGGCCGGCCCAGAGCTGCACGCCGATGATCCCGAAGATGAAGAAGACGAAGAAGCAGAGCAGGAGGACATTGCCCAGCATGGGCAGCGTGTCCAGGAGCAGGTTCACCAGGATCCGCATACCTGGAAAGGCAGAAGGTGCAGGACGGTCAGGCGAGGGGCAGGGAGGGGGCCGGCACAGGGCTGGAGAAGCGGCCAGGGAGGACGGTGGGCGGAGGGGGGCTGCAGGAGAAGGGTCTCGTGGCTCCCAGATGGCTCCGCGGTCAGTGGGGGGCCCTTCTCCTTGGTACCTGCCCCCCGACCCCCCCAGAGGCTGTGGGAAAGGCTCGGTGCCCCACACCGTGACACTGGGTCGCGGGAGAACAAGCAGGCATCATGGAGCCTTTGATTTAAAGGCCAGGCCCTCCTCTGGGAGGCGCACAAGCATGGCCTCCTTCCGTCTTCATGACAACTCGGAGGCTTTGTGGACAAGCCACAGCGAGAAGCCCTGCCCAAGGTCGCACGGCCAGCGGGTGGCAGGGTCTGGACCAAGCCAGCGTCCTGACACCAGGCTAGACCTCTTCCATGACACCGAGGACCTGCAGGCCTGAGGCGGAGGCCCAGTGCCCACGGATGCACAGTAGGTGCCTGGTGAATGTGCCCGCATGCCCTGCACCCCCGGAGCGGTCGCTGCCCCCTGGCCATGCCAGGACACACTGGTGCTGGCCGGCACCGCCCTGCCCGCCCGCTCTGCTGCATGGCGGAAGCCGGCACGGCTGGGTCACCCCAGCAGCGCCGTGGCCAGCAAGGGACTCCCACCGGGCGGGTGCCAGGGAAAGCAGCCTTCTCCCGCCCCAAGAAATAGCTGCAATGAACCACGCACCAGAGGCAAAAAGGAGAAAATGAGGACAGGCAGAGGGGATGAGGGCCCCGGGGAGGCAACGAGGTGACCTTGGTGGGGGTGAGCAGGCGTCGCGGGGGAGGAGAAAGGCTAGTTGTACCCCACAAGGTCCTGGTGGCCTAAAGCCAGCAGGCCGGAGAGAGTCTCTGATCTAGAAAGACCAGGGTCACAGCCCCACCTGGGGCCCGAGGGCCTGGAGGCCGAGGGTCTCAGTAAAGGGTCTTAGGGCGAGGGGTCACCCTGCGCGGCTCAGGGCCACCCCGACTCCAGCAATCCTGGGGCTCCCACCCACCAGAACCAGAGAACCCAGCGGGGCTGCAGCTTCCAGCCCCTCCCCACACTCTTCCACCCTGCGTCTGTCTCCCCTTCCTTACTGTCTGCGCTCCCTCTCCGCAGGCTCAGTCCCTGGGAAGCTGACCCACACCCCCAACCTGAGTGGTCACCCACCATGCAGCTGTCTGGAGCCCCCCTTCCCTCCTGACTCTGCGTCGCCCTGGTCGTAGGAGACCACACACAGCACCCCGACAAGGGGGGCCGCCTCTGCTTCGGCCCGCGCCCCTCCCCAGTCCGATGAAAGCCCGTCCGGCCGCCCTCCAGTCCCTGCGCTTAGGGCTGACTGACATGGAGACCACGTGGCAGGGCCTGGCAGTCGGCACACACCGTTCCCCAGCCCCAGGGATTGGGCCGGGCCGGGCGCATGGCCCCAGCCAGGACCGGTGAGAGTCAGCCCTGAGGTTTCTGCTGGAACCCAGGCAAGGTGCTTACTTTTCTACAGAAGTTGCAAGCTGGGAGGAGTTTGCCGGAAGCTGCGGGACCATCCTACCCCGGAGGGCAGCCCCTGCCCCTGCCCACGGTCCGTGGCTGCTGGCACTGGCCACGCTCTAAGAGAACACAACTCTGGGCCTGTCACCACCGCGCACGGAAAACCCTGGGGTTGCAATTACCCCCCAAAAGCTGGGGTTTGTGGGGGGAGGTGGACCCTGCGCGCAGTGCAGGTGATACATGGGCCTTATGGAACTAGTATAAAATACGCAGTGGGGGCCCTCCCTGGTGGCGCAGCGGGTTAAAGCGCAGCGCTAGGAAGTTTAAGCCCCTTCCGCATGAGTTCGATTCCCGCCTGCCCCGGAGGAGATCCACACGGTACAGCAGACCTCTCCTGACCCGCCTGCTGCTCCCCTCAGCAGTGTACTTCGTCGATCTGCCTGTTCTGCTCCCCACTCTGTCTCTGGTGAATCCTCTCACCCTCCGCATCTCTGGCCTGTACCCCAGTTCTATATGCATTAATAAACAAATAAAATATTTTAAAAAAAAAATACGCAGTGGGGCCCCACGGGTTTTCCCGGGGAGAAGTCGTGGAGTGGTCTGTGTCCTCAAACAAGATCAAGAGCTGGAGGACCGCCCTGCAAGGCACACCCCTCGCCCCATGGCCCTGTGAGCTTCCGCCCCGCCTACCTGTCCGGCTTCACCTCTCACACAGCCTGTCCCCTGCGCCTCATCATACCAAATTACCTAGAGAGAGCGTGGGACTTCGCAGTTTTTACACCTCTTCTGGAACACCGACCTCTCTCGTGCCTGGCAAGGCCCTATTCAGCCACCACAAATGAGGTCTCCTCTCTCTGTGAAGACTTCCCACACCCTTTCTCACCCCATCCCAGGCCTCTGTCTCCTGCTCTAGGCAACCTCAGCTCCTCTGACGTCGCCTGGGTAGCCGTGGACAGTTGTGCAGGCTGCAAACTGCACAGCTCGGCGACCCCCTCATGGCATCATCTAGTCAGATTAACCTCCCGTCTCTTCCATTGGGCTGTCAGCTCCTGGGGGCAAAGTCTACATCTGAGTCACCGCAGAATTGCCAGAGTCCAGCAGGTGTTGAATGACTGCCTGTGAAGGGGTGACGTGACCAGTCATGAGGGCGTGGGGGGGACGGATGGTGACAAAGAGAATGGGGGCTCTGTCCAGATTTTTATTTATTCCAGGGGTAATGATGAGGTGGTTACTGATGAGGATAATATTTGGGATTTGCATCACAAGCTCTGTGTGGAGTGATTTCCAATCAATAATTAATGCCCACCCCCGTGCTCCCTCCTCAAAAAACTAGGTCAGCCTCCTCCAGGGAGGACAGTGGGGCTCCCTTGAAGACAGCTGCCTCCAGCTGAGGGCAGGCCAGGGTGAGCGCAGGCTCCACACCCCCCACCCCCTAGAGCAAAGCCAGGGGCCTGAGGAGGAAGCAAGAAAGCTGGCGGAGAACCTCGCCACCCATCCAAATGTTAAGTCAGCCAGCACAGGCCTGCGTCCCAAATCTCATTCACCCACTCACTCACTCATTCATCAAACACTTCTACTGTCGCGTGTCAGGTACACGGGAACCCTAAGATGAGCACAGAGACAGCCCAGCAGCGGGGTGACGGGGGCTGAGTCTGGGGAGTGGGGGCAGCTCTGGGCACATTCCTGGAGGGGCTGACGTCAAGCTGCGCCCTCAGGGTGGCAGGAGCCTGCCAGGCAGCGGGAAGCACAGGCGAGCAAGGCGGAGTGACGGTTCCGGGGTGTACTGAGGCCACGCGTGGGGGTGCGGGAGCTGCAAAGGGAATGTGGGGCTCCGAGCCAGGTGACTGTCAGGGCGGCTGAGCCCTGGTGGGCTCAGGGCCTGGCACGGAAGGGGTGGCCCTGGAGGCCAGAGACAGAGGGGGCGCGCAGAAGCGGGCAGGGGCAGACGCCAGGCGAGGGCCTGCGGGCGGCTCGCTCTCCCCGCCTGGCTGTCGTGTGCAGCTCCATGGTGCTCCCTGGGGCCCAGTCTTTGTTGCTCAATTAATTACATTCCCTAGTTCTCTCGGATATTGAAATTCTGGAAGGCGCCTGAAAACCCGCGGCTGGCTCTGCTGAAGGGCTGGCAGCCCCCCTCCCCGCCAGGGCCCAGCTCACTTCACGGCCCTCCCCGGGGCCCAGGGCGTCCCAGGGCCACAGCGCCAGGCATAATTAGCTAATTAGGGACTCAGGGCGATTCACTGCTTCCGTGCCAGGGAAAAGGGGCCACGGGCTTAGAGAGTCAGGGAGGACCCCGCGAGACCCCAGCTAATCCTCCCTGGATGCCCACAGCCGTGTAATTAGGCAAGGAAGTCTGCGCTCCGTGCGACCCTCCGCTCCCCTGGCGCTGGGCACAGAACACGGAGGCCGAGAGGCGCGGAGGGGCGGGCCGAACGCGGGGCACAGGGAAGCGGAGGCCGTGACCGGGACCCAGGATGGGGACAAGAGCAGGAGAGACTCCTCGCCACGCTTCCTCACATGCTCGCCGGCTCGGCCCTCCTCCAGCCTTCCCTGGCGCCCACCCTCCCCCGGCCCTGCTGCCCAGGGAGGCCAGGTGGGCCTGGAGGGGGGCAGGCTTCCGGGGGCCCGTGAGTGTGGAGGGGGCCCTGCCCCCCCCGCCCAGAAAGTCCCCAGATGTCCGGCGCAGCCCCCAGCAGCGCCCCGAACGCCAACTCAGGCTGGTCCTGGCTGGGCTGCCCTAAGGCGGAACTTGCCCTCTCTGGCAAGGGCCAGGAGCCTCATCCACAGAAGACCGGGGTTGCCGTCCAGCCAGCCTCGGGGATCCCAGGAGGCCAGGACACCTCAGAAGAGCGAGCCCCTGAAGTCGGAAGCCCCAGCAGCCCCCCTACCCCTAGGGGGATGTGCAGATTCTGACCTACCGCCAGCCCACACCCTGGAGCGCTCCCACCTGCACTCTGTGCAGGCTCCTGCTACCCCTGTGCTGCCCGAGGTGGGGCTCGGGGCAGAGGGCCAGGCTGCTGTGCCCCAGGCCAATGACCCCCCTTCCCGCTCCCCGGGAAGCCCCCGACAAGATGGCCAGGTGAGAGCCGGCTTCCTCCTCCACACCCCTGAGCGGCTGGGCCTTCCGCCTCCACCTCTGGCCTCGGCCCGGCCTAGCCCACCTGCTGACACCTGCTTCCGCCATCGCCATCACCGAGAGG